TGCAGCCTGGGCTACAAAGTGAATTGAAGGCCAGTCTGAACTGCATAGTGAGACCCTGTCTAAAAAAAGACAAAAAAAAAAAAAAGAAAGAAAGAAAGTTAGAGGGCCCAATTCTTCAAGTAAGGTCTGTATTGTTTTTTATTTTTCTCTCTTTGGAAAATTATAGCCTCCTTTTTCTCCCAGGTGGTTTTGGGGAAGCAGTAGTTCTTCCACCAAGAGCAGGAAGACCGATTCCCCAGCCTAAACTTCGTGTCACAAAAGGTCTCAGGTTTCCACCTGGTTCTCTGGGCTGTTTGCTTGCAGCGCACCATGTACATCTGGCCCTGACCCACACAAGAGGCCTGCTGAATGGTCCCTGCTGAGCCCGGCCTTCCAGGGTCACTGCCACAATGTTGGCCACGTCAGTCATGCTACCTCAGGCCCCTAGGTCAGGCTGTCTGCAGCTAAATGCCAGTGAGGGACTGAGGAAAAGCCACAAAGAACAGGATTGTCCAACTGAGCCCTGCCCCATTCCAATGATGTACAGAATCTGTCAGGTGTGACAGAACACAAGTGGGGATTTCAAGAGTGCACAAGGGCAGCTAGGCATGACGGTGCACACCTGTAACCCCAGCACTCTGGCTGAGGCAGGGAGATTACCACGAATTCAAAGCCAGCCTGCACTACACAGTGAAACTCTCATAAAACAAAAATAAAAGCAGCACACAGGGCTGAGTGTGGTATGTATGTGTTTCAGTTACTAACTTTTGCAGCAACTGATAATGCAACTCTCTTATTTCTTTTATACTAAACACCTCTCCTTAAACTCAAGAGAACAACCCCTCACCCTCCCATTATACCTTCCGGGGAACAAATGCAGGTTCTTCCCATCCATCCGTCTGTCTATCTATCTATCATCAAAAGACTTTTATTTTAGCTTACTAAAATTTATTACTGACTAACCCAGTTACCATATCACAAGGCAGTAACAGTAATTACCACCATAATCTGTCAGTCCTTAGTCTAGTCTAGAAAAACACCTTTACAAGAGATTATCAGGTAGCGATTATACCCAGAAATATCACAGAGACCATGGTAGCTAAAGCCACAATTAGAATATACAGCAAAGCCTACTACTTCAAATTGTAATTGTTCCAGAAAATGTTGGAAATACAGCATTAACAGCTACACCTGCCTCTAATAAATGTGTTTGCCCACCGGCTACAGGAGCAGTAGTAATAGGGAAATGGCCATTTGAGACAGAAAGGTTTGTACAAATGGCAATTACTGTATAACCACAGAGGTCACTAATATTACTCTGGGTCTGGTGCCACTCTAGCTGTTTTTGTTGTTGTTGTTGTTGTTGTTATTGTTGAGACAGGGTCTCGCCATGTAGCCCAGGCTGGTCTCAAACACACAGTGATGCTCCTGCCTCAGCCTCCTGAGTGCTGGGATCATAGGAATATGCCACCATGCCTGACTCCAGCTGTACTATTAGTACCTAGTGATGCCTGGTACCTATGGCCTCCTTTACTACAGTCAAAGCAGCCAATCTCTAACCCTAAGTAATGCCAGGCCTGCACATGAGGTATGTGGGCATCTAAAAACAGAGACAGGCACAGAGGTGCTGACTTGCCCAAGTTAGACAGTGAAGCAGGTAGGGGTCAGAACCCAGCTATTCAGAGCCCATGCCCATGCTCTTCCCTGTATGACACTGGCAGTAAAGAAGGGACCTCAAGGGGGTCTCAAAGGAGGAGAACAGGACAGTCATTCAGGACAAACATCAGGAGCTAGTAAAAAAAACTTCTGGTTAGGAGTTTAGGTTTTTATCCTATAAGCTCTCCTATCCTCCAGCATAACTCTTCACAAAAGATGTGATGACCTATGTGCTCTGCACCCACTCCCCTGATGGCTCCTCCGTTTTCTGGAACTAGTGTGATCACTGATATGTGCAACTTCTTCCACTGCTAGCAAGGGCAAATCATGGGAAGTACTGGGGCTAGAAAAAGTACTAGGAAGACACTTCTGCCTCTTTCCTTGAGCTCTGAAATACTAATTTATGAACATGAAACTAACTTGGTACATTTAACCCAATAATAACAGAAGGCAGAAGTGACATTTGAATGCAAACACCAATGCTTTTCCTGTAGGCAGAACGTATTTAACTTGTGTCTGCTGAGTAAAAATTTGCTGAAGTCAGAACAGATGCTGCTTGACTCATGATGGGGCTGTGTCTCAGTAAACCTATTGCCTAAGTCAAAATGTACTTAATATACCCGACAGACTAAGCATCTTAGCTTGGCTTAGTCTACTCTAAATGTGCTCACAACACCTACGTTAGCCCCCAGCTGGGCAACGCCATCCAACACAAAGGCAATTTATAACCCTGTGTGGGACAGACACCCTGTGTGATTACTGAACACTGCGCTGCAGTGAGCACAGATTGGTGGCTGCATGGGTTCTCACAGCTGTGTACACAGCGAGAGCACACTGGGCCTGAAAGCTGTGGGGAGCACTGAAGTAAAATAACTGCAGATGCACGGGACACTGCGTGACAGGCTCATCAGTTTCTGTGAGCTGCAGCATCACTGCTACGGCCCAGAAACTCACCACACATCACCACCCTAGCAGAAGTGCGATTTCAAGATTGGAACTCCAGTTTCTCCTGAATGTGTAGTGCACACACATCATCATAAAGCAAAAAGACTTTTAGGCTGAACCATTGTAAGTTTAGGACTATCTGTACTTTCAGGGGAGACATGTGAGGAGTCCAGGACAAGTTTGATTCTTTTTTTTTTTTTTCTATCTTTTTGAGACAGGGCCTTGCTATGCAGTTCAGGCTGACCTGGAGCTCACTCTGTAGCCCAGGCTGGCCTCGAACTCGCAATGATCCTCCTGCCTCAGCCTCCCGAGTACAAGAATTACAGGCATGCACTACCACGCCCAGCTTGAGTCTGATTTTTGCAGCTTCTCTTGTAAGGATCAGAATAAACAGTACAGGGAAACAACACAGATGGTGGTTCTTCCAAGGAGTAAAAGCTAAACTAGCGGGATACACAGTACCAAGAACATGAGCTACAGAGGGGCTGAAATGAGCACGGGAGGCCACTGGATGCAGAAGGCTGAGGGCCAGCACTGGGCTAAGCGCACCGCTCCTGCTTCTGTATCTTCCAAATAACCAGCCACTTTCAGTTGTTCCAGACCCCTCCATATAGACCTATCAGTGCATTTGTAACTGGATTTATTTCTTAATATATTGGAAGGTTTTGTTTCCTTAGACTAGTAAGTTAGCATATAGAGTTTTACTTTAAATTTTTCCTTTGTGCACTGTCTTCATGGCTCTATTCTCCAGGAAACTGTTCCCTCCGGGAACAAGTGATATAGTTTTCTCTGAGAATCATTTAATGAAGGTGTTTCCATAATAAAGTGGAACAGATTCAGTGTTAAAGGTAAAGGGAAGGAGATGAGGCATTTACTCTGGATTATGTTTGAAGTGTTAGATGGCTAAGTACTAAAAGCATCCAAATTAAATCCTTGGCCATCAGGACACTTGCTTCACTAGATTTTGCCAACTAACTGCCAATCATGTTGGGCTGAGCTAATCTCTTCCTTTTTCTGAAACTATTAAGGTAAATAACAATAAAATTTCCTCTATAAAGGCAAAAAATATTAAAATATTTGTTTAAAATATTAAAGTATTTTTTTAAAAACTTCCCTTCACCTAAACCTCACCGGCCACAGCAGGCAGCACCACCAAGCAGAGAAACGCAGATACTTCCACCCAGAAACCACGACAGGCAGCAGCAGTGAGAAGCCTCGATGCTCCACAGTGGTTAAGCAACATGGGGAGAGAGCCTTTGTGTGTTATTTCTAGGACTCTTAGGCTTCTCTGAGGTTTGGAAAGGCATAGCAAATTCTGTAAATGAAACTTTGTTCCTACTCTTACTGTCAAGAAACTGCCCACAAAACACCCGCTTCTTTTTATTAAGGGCTTTGGAAAACCAGAAAATTTTACATGAGATTCGTATGAAGGGATCACTTGGAGCCCACTTGTGCACTGTCAATAACTCTGCTCCCCTCAGCAGGCCACAAGTTCAGTAGCTCGTCTTAGAAAATGAGGCAGTTTGAGGGGCTGGGGATTTAGCTCAGCAGCACAGCGCCTGCCTGGCAAGCGCAAGGTTGTGAATTCGATTCCTGGTACCAGAAAAAAAGAAAAGAAAAGAAAAGAAAATGAGCAGTTTGAGTTTTTCCAAGAATCTGGATTTGTTTCATTTCTCATTCTGTTAAAAAAAAATAAAATGCCTGACTTACAAAGTAATGCACACTGACTTGGGCCAAACCCAAGAGCATTACAGGGGGTTAGGTCTGTTCATCTGTTACATACACTGCAATAGTAAGCAGCCTAACACCTTGAAGGTGAAACTTTGGACAGTCAAAAATAGGAGGGGGGTGATTAAATATATGGTGTATATGCGATTTCCCCTGCTCGAATGCAGCAGGCCATGCACCTATTACCATCCCGACAAGATTCAGAATCAAGGCAGGGTCTAAGCAACATGGAGAGCCCAGGGGCAAGCAGCTGAACCATGCAGTGTGCTTAGTGACACAGCCAGTTTACATTTTAATACAATCTTACTGTCTTGTCAGTGGCAAAGTTTGCACACCAGCTCTGTTCAAGAGTATGAAATCAAGACTCTTAAGGATATACCCGGGAAAAAAAAAGAATGTACACAGAGCCAGGTGTGGTGCAACACATCTGAAATCCCAGCACTCAGAAAGCTGCAGTTTGAGGCCAGCCTAGGTTACAAAATTGAAAAAATGCTAGGTGTGGTGGCACACGCTTGTAATCCCAGCACTTGGGAGGCAGAGGCAGGAGGATCATTGAAAGTTCAAGACCAGCCTGGGCTACAAAGTGAACACAAGGCCAGCCTGAACTGCATAATGAGACCCTGTCTCAAAAAGGCCAAAGAAAGAAAAAGTACACAGACAAAATCATCTATTTTTACAAAGCATGTAAGTACCTGTTCCTGCAGGTCGTAGTCATAGCTGTCATGCAGCAGAAGACTGAGAACATAGCGTGTATAGATCATGGCATCGATGCCACATTTCTCCAGCTCTTGTCCCAGCCAGGTCTGCACGGGGCCCAAAGCATGGAGCAGCGACATGTCAGAAGCAGACACAGGGCCGGGACAAGAACAGAGGGGCTCTCAGGTGGCGAAGCATCCACGGGGAGGGCGCAGACAGGTGCATGAAGTTAGGTGGCTGGCACCCTCGACGGACAGAGCACGGCCCACAGCGGAGGCCCTGCAGGGGCCCGGTGGGGGTCTTCACTCCAGCAGTGGCGGGAGGCGCTGGACATGGAGGGAGCGCACTGACTGTGCCGCAGTCAGCTGTCTAGGACAGAGCCTCCCTCTCCAGGCATGACCAGTGCATCAGCACCCAGACAGCAATGCGCGTACAGATGGAGTCTTCTACTTTCATTTCACATTGAGGCCACACGCAAGGCTCGGGCAGAACCTACGAAAGTGAGTGAGAAAAAGGTATATGCGTTATATAGAAATTCCATCGTTGATCTTTTGAAAAACATTGAACAGTTCTTCCTTATTAGGGTATCTTTGGTGTCAACCTGTAATCCCAGCACCCGGGAGGCTGAGGCAGGAAGATCACCATGGATTTGAGGGCAGCCTGGGTTACACAGCAAGTTCAAGGTCAGTTTGGACTACAGAGCAAGACCCTGTCTCCACAAAGGAAAAAAAAAGTCTTTTGTGTCTTAGGACACTAGTCTTTTTTGTTGTTGTTGTTTTGTTTTTCTCCGGTACCAGGAACCGAACTCACAACCTTGCGCTTGCCAGGCAGACGCTTTGCCGCTGAGCTAAATCCCCAGCCCCTGACACTGGTCTTTTTTACCCTCTGAAATCTCTGACATTTTCAACTAAGCGACAGTTGGGCATGTAGCAAAGTGACTGGGCACTTGTGTGAGTCTCTGGGTTCAATATTCAGAATCACAGAAAATGAACTAAGTGATGCTGTAACTCTAAAAAGGTTAATAATGTTTAAAAAGAGAACTGCGAAGGTGATGCTCTAAGCTCAATTACACCAGTTTATTTTGCTACCTCACAGGACTAGATGAGTAGAACTGTGTTACTGTTAACAGTGAAAGAATTTAGCACTAGCTCCTATCGTATAAAGGCTGGGTGTAGTATAAGCCCAGCACTTGGGAGGCTGAGGCAGAAGGATCACTGCCTGGGCTACACAGTGAGCTCAAGAACAGCCTGAATTACATAGCAAAACATGTCTCAAAAAGATGGGAGGAAAAACATACATCATATAACAGAGATAAGCAGGTGAATAATAATTTTACTGTAACAGTGATTAAAAGAAATTACTCCTTAATTTTTCTTATCCAGGTAATTATCATAAAGCTAAAATCTTTAGGATTTATCATCACTTCACAAAAACTAAGACAAGGCATAAACCTGGTTTATAGCCGTGCCAGCCTAGACTATTAACACCTACTATAGCTTTTCTTCTTGTATACCATACTACCTACACTGAATTTCTGATTACTTGTGACACATGACTTTAAATTAATGTAATTTTAGTATATCAAACTAAACCTAGCCAGGTTTGGTAGCACATGCCTATAATCCTAGCACTCAGAAGGCTGAGGCAGGAGGATCGCTGCAAGTTCAAAATCAGCCTGGGCTACAAAGTGAGCTCAAGGCCAATCTGAACTACATAGTGAGACCCTGTCTCATAAAGACACCCCCCCCAAAAAAAAAACCCAAAAAACAGCTAAGCTTGTAATTCTAGCACTCTGAGAGGTTGAGGAAGAAGCTTCACAAGTTCGAGCCCAGCCCAGGCAACTTGTCACTTTTCAAGACCTTGTTTCAAAATAAAAGCAAAAGGGCGCACGGGGAGCCTCGGGTGGGGAGCGCCGGTCTTCCAGCTGGCTAGCTTCCTGCCT